TGGAGGAGAGGAGAAGAGAAGGCCAGAGGAGACGCTGCAGGACGAGCAGAGGGGCACGAGGGATGAAGGGGCTTGAGCCAGTGTGGAGGACGAGCTGAGGGGCAGGAGCAGGAGGGAGGCACAGATGAAGCGTAAGAGGGAGGCAGAGAGATAGGGAGGGAGCGAGGAGGAGGAGGAGAGGGGGGCACGCGCGACTGCGGGAGGGAGCAGGATCAGAACTGCGGGGCATGGGTCGGCCCGCCGTCAAAGGTGCAGGTCCCAGAGGAGCGGGGTGAAAAAGCACAAGGGCGAAGGATCTCAGGGACAGAGCGAGAAGAGGGAGGAGAGATGCGGACGGAAAAGCAAGGCGGAGGCCTGGCGGGGCCACAGTCAGCGGGCCCTCGTCGTTCCCTCTTCTACCTCCTCCTCCTCCCCTTCCCGGGTCCTTCTCCCCCCTCCATCATCTTGCTTCTCGTGCTTCTCCACCTCTGGTAGTCATTCTCGTCTCTCGTCTCTCCTTTTCCGCTCTCCTGCTCATCCCCCCCTCCTCCTCTTCCTCCTCCTCCTCCTCCTCCTCCATCTCGTCCCATCTGCCTTCCTCTAGCTCCTCTCGCTGTTCCTTGCCCATTCTCCCTTGTCGCCGTCGTACCCCTCGTTCTCCCCACATCATATCACACGAGTTTTAAATATGTTGAGCAATTCCATGGATGGAGGGCAGGCTCTTCTCAAACGGTGGTTAACGTTGGAGACGCTCTGGACATGATGGCGCTGCTTTGCATGATGGATGGCAGCTCTTCTTCGAAATGGGGAACTCGTCTGAATTGCAGGCACATGCAGCACTCGTCTTTATGGTGCGCTTCCCTCAGGGGCTGGGACAGGAGGGTGTGTTGCAACATCCGTCCTCCTCTCCTCCTCCCTCCTGCCTTATCCTCGTCCTCGTCCATCGTTTCTCATCGCCCCCCTCATCCTCATCGTCATCCTCCTCCCCCTCATCCTTCCCCCTCCTCCTCCTCCTCTTTCCCCGTATCCTCTGTCTTCCCGCATGATCGTGATCCACTTCATCCTCCTCCGCTCTCTCTCATACCTCGTCCTGCTCTTCCTCCTCGTTCCCCTCGCCCATCCTCCCTCGCCGTCGTCGTCGTCCCCCCCCCCTCGTCCTCACCACACTCCCTCACACGATTGTTCAACCTGTCGTGTAATCATCTGAGCCGAGGGCAGGATCTGTCTCAGGAGGTGGTCGTCGCTGGGTGCGTTCTTGAAGCCCCCCTGCCCCTGCACATTGCGTTGCCTCGGTGGATGTGGGGAGCATGTCAATCTGCGAAATGGGGCACTCGCCCGAACCGCAGGCTCCTCCTCCTCCTCCTCCTCCTCCTCCTCCTCCTCCTATTCCTCCTCCTCCTCCTCCTCCTCCTCCTCCTCCTCCTCCTCCTATTCCTCCTCCTGGCTCATGGAGCGCTCGTCTGTCAAGGGGCGCGCCCGCAGCGGGAAGGAATGCTTGTAGGGCCTTCGGCGGTGGGGTCCTGGGACAAGAGTCTCCGCGTCGTAGCATCGGTCCTCTTGCCTCCCGCCCTCTCGTCATCCTCGTCCCTCCTGTCTCCTCGCCCTCCTCATCCTCGTCGTCCTCCTCCTCCAACTCTCCCCCTCCCCATTCATCCTCCTACACCTCCCTCTTCTTCCTCTATTGTCATTCTTCTCCTCCTCCTCCTCCTTCATCTCTGAGCTCTTGTTGTTTCTCCTATCCGTTCTCCCTTCGCTCCACTGCCCTTTTCTCCACTTCCCACTCTCCTCCTCCTCCTCTTGCCCTTCCTCCTCCACCCTTCCTCCTCCTTCTCATCCGCTTCCCCGTCCTCCTCCACCTCTTCATCTCTCTCATCTTCCCCCCTTCCCCGCAGTTTCTACCCCAATCAGCGCCTCCCTCGCCCTTCGGATGGATGGGTTTTGCGGGCGGCGTCTCATACGCAGGCCTACATGTCCGACGTCAAGACGTACATCGGCGACGACTGCGAGGGCTACCAGTGCCGCCCGCCGGTGTGGTACTCACTGCCCGGGTCGTGCCCCAACCACAACAACGAGGAGAGACTGTAGGAGGGAGCGGGAAGGATGATGGTGGTGGTGGTGATGCATCGGAGACGCATACGGCGAATCACCGCCGCCCCCTGCCGCTTGTAATCGCCAACGTGGCAAGGGCTCTGCCGAGCTAGCGGGCCGTGTGTTCCCCCAGCCCTTGCAGAAACCCTTCGGGGAACACTGGGGTGAGGATGGCGGGGAAGATCAGGAGGAGGAGGGGGAGGAGGAGGAGGGGGAGGAGGAGGAGGAGGAGGAGGAGGAGGAGGAGGAGGAGGAGGAGGAGTCTTGGAGGAGGAGGAGGAGGAGGAGGAGGAGGAGGAGGAGGAGGAGAAGAGGGGGAGGATGATGATGTGTGTTGTCTGATCCTCGGACGCGGGGTCCTCCTGCTGGGCAGGCCGCATCTTCCACATCGGCCCGAGTCGGGGACGCACGCTCCCGACTGTGGGGGAAGGCCTCTTCTGAGCCTCGACAAGACCTCGCGCTCAGCTCTGGTGGGCGCCTGGCAAAACTTCTTCCAACGTTCGCGGCGGCATTGTCGTGCAAACGCCACCGCACGTCGTACACAAAAGCACCCCCACGGTGCACAGCGAGGTGGTGAGAGGATCGCATCGGTCGGCCAGCGGATGATCGAGGGCGCTCCCGCACATCCCAGACAAGCCCAAATCGTCGGGAACGGGGTCGGGAGCGGGGTCGGGACCGACACGATTGACCTCAAGGCGACGTGGCATCAGCTGCACTCGTTGCTGGATCACACATCGCGGCTTGCATGGGCCAGTTCAGAACTCATTCAAGAGCCCTCGCACATTACAGCTCCTGGCACACTGGGCAATGGATCACTGCCTTCCGCTTCTGAGGTCGATGCCCTGAGTAACTGAGTTTGTACAGTTCGGCAAAGCTGGTAGATCGGCCCCGCTCTCGTCTGGGAGCTCTCTGCACACGCTGCTCTCGCTGACTCGAATAGAGACCTCTCGCTGGACAGTAAGAAGCCTTTGCAAGACATCAGCGGCGAGCAGATTTGCTTGGAGCGTGGCAGCAGCATCCTGGTCCGAGACCTGCACAGAGAAGAGGAGGAGGCGGAGGAGGAGGAGGAGGCGGAGGAGGAGGAGGAGAGGAGGAGGAGGAGGAGGAGGAGGAGGAGGAGGAGGAGGAGAAGAGGGGAGGAGGAGGAGGAGGAGAGGAGGAGGAGGAGGAGGAGGCGGAGGAGGAGGACCAGGAGGAGGAGGGGGGGGAGGAGGAGGATGAGGTTGAGGAGGAGGCGAAGGAGGAAGAGGAGGAGGAGGAGGAGGAGGAGGAGGAGGAGGAGGAGGGGGAGGAGGATGAGGGGGTATATTCGGAGCCTCTGGGGGCACTCTTGGGGCCTCCTTGAAGCTTCCTGGGAGCCTTTTGGAAGTATCTTGGGAGCCTCCTTGGGCCCGTTGAGGGCCTTTGGGGGCTTCTTTTGCCGCCTTAGGGCAGAAGCCGTCTTGGGGGCCTCTCTGGGTAGACTTTGGGCCCTCTTGGGTTACTCCAGGGCCATCTTGGAGGCCATCTTGGGCGTCTTCGAGGCCTCTTGGGCCGTCTTGGGGTCCTCTTGGGGCCGTCTTCGGGGCCTCTTGGGCCGTTCTGGGGCCATCTTGGAAGGCCTCGTGGGCGATCTTTGGGAGCTCTTGGGCCGTCTTGGACCGTCAGAAGATCGAAACGAAGCAAATTCCCAAATCCTTCGAACACCTAAGGCAAATCAATGATTTCAGCCTCTTCGGGCCTTTCTGGACTGGAGGCCCTCTTAGGAGCCTCTTGGGCCGTCTTGGAGGCCTCTTGGGGGCCTCTGGGGCTGCATTGGGCCATCTTGGAGCCATCTTGGGCCGTCTTGGTGGCCTCCTGGCCCAGCTGACGCCGTCGGAAGCCGTCTTGAGGGTCTCTCTGGGCCGACTTGGGGCCCTCTTGGGGTGCTCCAGGGCCGTTGTGGAGGCCATCTTGGTCGTTTCGACGGCCTCTTGGGCCGCCGTGGGGCCCTCTTGGGGCTGTCCTGGGGGCCTCTTGGGCCGTTCTGGGGCCATCTTGGAGGCCTCTGGGCGATCTTGGGTCGATCTTTGTGGGCTCGTGGGCCGTCTCGGGCCGTCGGGAGGCCGAACAGAAGCAAATGCAACATTCCTGCAAAAGCCTCGGGCAAATCAATGATTGTGGCCTCTTCGGGCCTTCCTGGAGGACTCTTGGGGGCCTCTTGGGCCGTCTTGGAGACCTCTTGGGGGCCTCTTGGGCTGTCTTGAGCCACCTTGAAGCCATCTTGGGCCGTCTTGGTGGCCTCCTGGCCCGTCTGACGCCTTCGGCAGCCGCCTTGAGGACCTCTGTTGGCCGACTTTGTGCCCTCTTGGGGTGCTCCAGGGCAGTCTTTGAGGCCATCTTGGGCGTTTCGGAGGCCTCTTGGGCCGTCGTGGGGTCCTCTTGGGGCTGTCTCGGGGGCCTCTTGGGCCATTCTGGGGCCATCCTGGAGGCCTTTTGGGCGGTCTTAGGGCGATCTTTGGGGACTCTTGGGCCGTTTCGGGCCGTCGGAAGGCCAAAAAGAAGCAAATTCCCAAATCCTCAAACAACCTTTTTGGACAATTGATGATTTTGGCCTCTTCGGGCCTTCCTGGAGGCCCTCTTGGGGGCCTCTAGGGCCGTCTTGGAGGCCATTTGGGGGCCTCTTGGGTCGTCTTGGGCCATCTTGAGGCTACCTTCGACCGGGCGCACCCCATATCCCTATCGAGGATGGTCGCTTCCCCGTGGTGTGTCACAGAGTTGGCCCCCCATGTTTTCCGCCCGCTCGAGAAGCCCACGAAGTCGGGAATGCGGGCCGACATCACATTCCCCGTTGGATGCGACGCCGAAGTCCTGCCCTCCTCCCAGCGCCGAGGAGAAAACCCCCGAGTGCATCCGCGACCTCCCCGGCGGCCTCTGCGACGCGGCCACCGGCGACAGGTCGGCGACTACAAAGGGTACGGTTACGCCAGGGTGCGGCTTGCGATCCGCACTGCTGGGGCCCGGGGAACACGACACTGTCCTCGCTGGGCCTCCTGGGGGCGCGGCGGAGAGCTCCGTCGAGGTCCCCGCCCGCCCACCAGGGTGTCACCCAGGGCGCCGGTTGCAAACCACACCCCTTGCAAACCGCACCCTTTGGAGTCGCCGAACAGGGACTGCACCTACAGCGTCGAGGACGCCGGCGAGATCGGCCTCGGCCTCGGCAGAAGAGGAGGAGGGGGAGGAGGAGGAGGAGGAGGAGGAGGAGGAGGAGGAGGAGGAGGAGGAGGAGGAGGAGGAGGAGGAGGGGGAGGGGGGGGAGGAGGAGGAGGAGGAGGAGGAGGAGGAGGAGGAGGAGGAGGAGGAGGGGGAGGAGGAGGAGGAGGAGGAGGACCCCAGGAGGAGGAGGAGGAGGAGGAGGAGGAGGAGGAGGAGGAGGAGGAGGAGGAGGAGGAGGTGGAGGACTGCACCTACAGCGTCGAGGACGCCGGCGGGATCGGCCTCGGCCTCGGCAGAGGCGGATCGAGCGTCGCGCGTTCGCGCCCATAGATGTGCGTGCCCTCGCGGCCGGGCCCTCTCGCGGCCGGGAGACCGAGGCGCCAGTTTAAGTCGGGGGTGTCCCTCGACAGGAGGCATCTTCAAAAGTAGTGAAAAAATGCTTGGAGACGATGGTTGAGTATTTTTGAATATTTGTTGCAGATCTCTGGACTATTTTTAAATTTTCGTCCAACATCCGCCTGTAGGGGGGCACGCCCAACCTAACGCTAGTTATCCCATGGATGCGAGATCCCGTGGACTCATGCTGCGCGGGGGAGGGCGAGGGCATCCATGGCAGTCCGACGTCTTGTATGCATCCGAGTCGTAGGACGTGTGGTCTCCACCGTTTTTGACCTCAGCGGGCCCGTTTCGGGTTCTGGGGGGCGTCAAACTCCGACGCTGGATGGAAAGCCGGCCCAAGGGAAAGGGTCGGGACTCCCGGGGGCCCCGCAGAGAAAACCTCAAGACGCCAGATGTCCGGCAAGGAGGGCACAAAGCGAGGGCGCGAAGGCGGCGGAGGAGGATGAGGATGCGGATGTGGAAGGAAGGAGGATAGGGGAGGGAGGGCGTGCAGTGAAGACGTGGGAACGCGGGCCACGAAGAGTTCGGAGAACTCAGCGCAGCATTTTAAGAAGTCAGGACCGGAGTCCTCGACACCACCTCCTTTGCGGCATGTCTCGAGCCGAATAGATCCGTGAGGGTCCTGCACCCCCCTGGAAAGGCAATGCAGCTTGTGCAGGTCGTGTCGAAGAACCCTCCGGGCGACTTCCCTCACCCTGGGTCTGTTTCTGACGGTCCTGGGGCCCGAAAAAAGAACGGCCCCCAGAGGCCAAAAGCTACGAAAAGTAGAAGGCGACGAAAACAAACACATCGAAGGTTACAGTTGTGAGCATTTTCTTATTCATTGTTTTGCCGATCGGCGCGGGCCCTCGCACCCCTCCTCCCCCCCACCCCCTCGTGGAGTAGATCTTGGCTGTTTTTCAGGCGCCTGTTTCGAACAGGTGGAGTCTCCCCCATAGGACGCACGGCTGTAAACAGTCGCACTAAGCAGAGGTCTGGAGCCAGACCCCCCTCTCCCCCGCCGAATAAGAAAACGCTCACGTTGCAGTACTTTTCAAGGGCAGTGTGGGGTCCGAGGACGAGCGAAAACGCCTTGATGGAACAGCAAGACGGCTGCGCCTGGAGTTCAGGGGTAGAGGGAAGGCAGGCCAGAATGCGGAGGAGGAGGCGGAGGTGGAGGGTCGGTGCTGCGGCCCAGGATTAAGTCCGGCATGTCCTTCTATAGGAGGAACACTAAAAACAGTCAAAACATAGTCTGGGGACGACTTGTCTACAATTTTGTATCATTTTTGAATAGTTTGTTTTGTGTACTTTTAAATACAGGTGCCTCTGGGTGCCGCTGCAGGTGCCTTTGTATTTTTGAATACAGATGTCTCTTTGGCGCGGCGAGCTTCCCCACCAGGTGCCTCTGCAGGTGCAGCCCAGACAATCCAACGTTTTGAAAAACCAACTTGGAGGTTCTTCGCCGTTCTCGGTCTCTGGGGGCCCTCGTCGGGTCCTGGGACCGTCCAAGAACGACTCGGGACGACAAATCGGTCCTGAGGAATAGGAGCGAGTTGTCTGGTGACCCCGCATGGGAAAAATCAAGGAATCGGATGTCTGGGGACTCGGTCTTGTCAAGTTTTTCGGGGGATGCTACGAGAACTCCTGGCCCAGAGGGAGAGCCGTCCCCAGATCTCCGGCGTCGTGATTTTGCTCGCCACGCGGATCCCTGGAGGTCTCGGCCCTTCTCGGCCACGCGCAGAGGGGGGGGGGAGGGGGAAGGGGTCCTTAGAGTCGTCCCTGCTTCTTAGAAGGCGCGGGCCTCGTCTGTAGATGTAGGGCCGGTGCCTCCTAAGAAGCAGCCTCCTTCCCTCCACCCCCTTGTGCGCACCGCCAGCTTTCCCCGAGACCAGCCTTGCATCCCGAGCAGCTTCGCTGCGGGCCGAGGGCCCAGAGCGCAGCGGGCGCTCTTCGCCACGGGCGGCGGCGGAAGCGCGGGGGGCATCGAGGGCTGCGGGGGAGGGGGCCCCGCGGGGGCACCCCCGCGGGGCCCCGAACGGGCATGAGAGGTGCACCTTTCTCCCCCCCTGTGGATCGAGGCCTCCCAGATGGGGTCCGACTGAGTGCGAAGGACGAAAAAAACGCCATCAACATAAGCCTTCGGCGCTCCTCGCAGTTTTCTTGCATCCGCGCTGCCCCCACCCCCCGGCGGCGCCTCCGGCGCCCCCCCTTTGCGCGGAGCCAAGAAATCCGCGGGGCGCTCCAAACGTTTATGCTTATGTGTTTTCTGTTCCTTTATGAACGGGGTTGGAGGATTGCGCCACATCGCCGATGCATCGGCGATGCTGCTCAATCTGGAGCCCGATTGTCTCCACGCCGACGCCGCCTATGCATCGCCTTGCCCCCGAAGGCCAAAGTGCCTCGAGCCTCGATTCTCCAGGTTCGAGCTTCGACGTGTACCTCCTTCTGCCTCCTCCCCCCCTCCTCTTCTCCTCTCTCCCTTCTCCTCCTCGTATCCCCCCCCCCCCCCGCGCGCACGCCCAACGGAGGAGAGAGAGCAGAGGGGCGGGACGGTGGAAGGGGGGAGCCGAGGGGAGGGGAGAGGAAGGGGAGGAGGCAGGGGAGGGGCCGTCGCTTGCCCGTCCTCCACCTACTTGTTGAGTCGGGCGTGTCCCTCTACAGAAGGAGCACGCGAAAACAGTCAAACAAGGACAGTGTGGGGACGATCTTTCTACCATTATTGTGCATTTTGGGCGTATCGCTTGACTAGTTTTTATTTGTTATCCAGAATCCGCCTGAACTCTGACCTCATCGTCTAAGATCCGCCTAACTAAGCTTTTCGTCCAAAATCCGCCTCGCTGGATCAGCAAGAAAAAGCGCGAGTTTAGGCTGGCACTGCCCCGACCTGAACTCGTTGTTTCTTGTTCCTCGCTCCTTCGGCGCCTTCCGCACTGCCCCCCGTGCAGCCCTTTGGGCACAAGCCGCGGCCTCGTGGAGGCCGCGCTGGCCGGGGCAGCGGCGGGCGTCGCGCCGCGCCCGGCACCGCGCGCGCCGGCGATGGCGGCCGAGGCGCGCCTGGGGGGGGGGCGGCGTCGGAGGTTTGGCTGACAGTGGGGGCGCCTCAACGGAGAGCGCCGTTGCTCCGAGTTGGGGGGGGGGGCAGCGCTCGCCGAGGCTGTGTGAGGCTCGGCGCCTCAGCGGAGAGCGCCGTTGCACTCCGAGCGTGGGGGGGCGCCATGCGCCGAGGCCGTGGGAGGCGTGAGGCCAGGCAGAAGGTGGAGCAGAGGCGGTGAGACGGCGGTGTCCTCCTCCTCCTCCTCGTCCTCCTCGTCCTCGTCCTCCTCCTCCTCCTCCTCGTCCTCCTCGTCCTCCTCCTCCTCCTCGACGAGGAGGAGGAGGAGGGTGAGGACGAGAAGGAGGAGGAGGAGGAGGAGGAGGAGGAGGAGGAGGAGGAGGAGGAGGAGACGGCGGTGGAGCTGGTGTAGCTGTTGTGGCTGACGTAGCTGTTGCAGCTGCTGCAGCTGCCGTACAGGTTGTGGCTGGTGTGGCTGTTGGAGCTGTTGTGGTTGTTGTAACATTGGTGGTTGTTGTGGCTATTTGAGCTGTTGTAGCTGCTGGAACTGTTATGGCAGCCGTACGTGCTGCATATGTTATATATGGTGCGCATGTTTTATCTGTGTTTCATGTTGTCTTTGGTGTGCCTCTTGTACCTGCTGTATTTACTGTGTCTGGTGTAAGTGTTGTACCTGCTGTATCTCTTGTACCTGCTGTATCCGCTGTCTCTGCTTTATGTGTTGTAGCTGATGTAGCTGGTGTAGCTGTTGTCACTGTTGTGGCTGTTGTAGCTGTTGTAGCTTGTTGTAGCTTGTTGTAGCTGCTGTAGCTGGTGTAGCTGTTATTGCCGTTGTGACTAGTGCTATGGCTGCTATAGTTGATGTATCGGTTGCTTAAGTTGTGTGTGTGTGTGTTGTATTTGCTGTGCCGTCGTAGTTGCTATGGCTGCTGTAGTTGATGTATCGGTTGTTTAAGTTGTGTGTGTTGTATTTGTTGTGCCCGTTATGTACGTTTTATACGTTGAATGTGATGCATCTGTTGTATTGGTTGTTTATTTGGTGTGTGCTTTCTATGGTGCTTATGTTGCACCTGTTGTCCGAGGCGGGAGTTTATTCATATCCACCGCCTGGAGGGTCAGTTTTCGGAGCCTCAGCAGGCGGTGTATATGGACATATTCGGGCCCCCCGGGGGCCGACATGTATCCATATCCACTGCCTGTTGGGGCACCAGGACATCGGTTCCCAGGCGGTGGATATTGATACATCCCCGCCTCACCTGTTGTAGCTCTCGTATATGCTTTATCTGACGTGCCTGCTGTCTCTGCTATATATGTGCCCTATGGTGT